ATTAACTGCCATATGAGTTATATTTAAGTCACGCTAGTTTTGAGCCCGGGGCCTCACGAAGGATATGTAACTCACACATCTCTTTACCTTGGGAGCCGCATGAACTATTTTTCAAGTTGCGTATAACTCACACACAGAAAACAATAAAAAATAACAAGTTTTTCATTAAATTAGAAAGGATCACTTTGTTTTCGAAGTTTTTATTCTATTTTTATAATAAAACACCATGGCCCCAAGGAAAAATCTTTTTTCCTAGTGTGACAGACAATGTGTTAAATACAACTGTTAGCAGCAACACTTACTATTTGATTAAATTAAACTCACTACATTTTTATTTGCAACACTGTATACCTTAAAAAGTATCTGCGATATTATACTGTATAGAAGACAGGATAATAAAATGGTCTACTGCAGCAGCAAATGAGAAAATATGCAGTACAGACTGTGGATAAATAATTTTGATCAAATTCCAGACCATAAGTCAAGGCTCTATTTTGCCTATACAGCTATTTCTACTATACATAAAGCCTTTAAAAAAAAAAGGGCAAAAAAGGACAAAGTATCTAACTTTCCCTATCCTTAATCACCATTGAAAACATCAAGGATATATAAAGATGGGAAAAAGCATGTATCAGCCTAGGAAACCAGGAAAAAAGATGCAATACAGATTCAAGAAAGTTTTGCTAAGTCCATGGCACTTTAGACTTGGGAAAAGTAAGTCAGCAAAAATCAGCTTGCCACTCCAATTCTGGGAATATTCAGCATACTCAACAAGAAAGTGAAACCAAAACTTGGTTCTCCAAAAAAAATAAACAAAATTGGCAAAACTTTAACTAGACTCATGGAAGAAAAAAAAAGAAGAGTCATTACTGAAATCAGGAATGAAAGGAGATTACTATCAAATTTGCAGAAATAAAAAGGATTATAAAGCCATCCTATGTGGGTTTGTTGTTTTTTTGTTTTTTTTTTTTTTAGTAGAGGCGGGGTCTCACTCTTGTTCCGGCTGGTCTGAACTCCTGACCTCAAGGGATCCTCCCACCTCAGCCTCCCAGAGTGCTAGGATTACAGGCATGAGCCACCACACCCAGCCTATCCTATGTGTTAGAAGAAAAGGTGTGTTTGCCTATTTGGGTATGGGCCAATCAGTTGGTAGCCAGAAATTGGCAGAAGCTTCACTGCTGTGATTGGCTAAGACTCAGGAGTTGTTACAAAAAATACATTCCTAATTTAGGCTTTAAGTTTGTTAATGTACTAAATTAGGCAGTTCCATATGTAGGGACTCAAGGTACAGAAGCAGCCTCGGGCTAAATTTCATTTAATTTAACATATCTATGCCAACAAATTAGATAACTTAGATAAAATGGACAAATTCCTAGAAAGACACAAATTACATAAAGCTAGAAAATCTGAATAGAGCTATAAAAAGTAGAGATTGAATTAGCAATCAAAACACTTCCCCGCCGGGCGCCGTGGCTCACGCCTGTAATCCTAGCTCTCTGGGAGGCCGAGGTGGGCAGATTGTTTGAGCTCAGGAGTTCGAGACCAGCAAGAGCGAGACCCCGCCTCCACTAAAATTAGAAAGAAATTAATCGGCCAAGTAAAAATATATACAAAAAATTAGCCGGGCATGGTGGCGCATGCCTGTGGTCCCAGCTACTCGGGAGGCTGAGGCAGTAGGATTGCTTGAGCCCAGGAGTTTGAGGTTGCTGTGAGCTAGGCTGACGCCACGGCACTCACTCTAGCCCGGGCAAAAAGAGTGAGATTCTGTCTCAAAAAAAAAAAAAAAACACTTCCCACAAAGAAAAGCCCAGGACATGTGGTTTCATTAGTAAATTTTACCAAACATTTAAAGAATACCAATTCTTCACAAACCCTCCCAAAAAATGTAAGATCTCAAGGAAAGTATTTATATATTCTATACTACTATACTTTATCAGCTCATTTAAATATACACACCAAGGATAGAGCATATATGCCATTAACTTTGAATGCAAAAACCGTACTATGAAATTTTTGTTTATTTTGCTATCAACATCTAAATAAAGGTCTTTTTAAATTTGTTTTAAAGTAACCTCATCAGGACAATTTGAAAGTATCTTTCTGGCTGGGCACGGTGGGTCACATCTGCAATCCTAAATCTCTGGGAAGCCAAGGTGGGAGGACTGCTTGAGCTCAGGAGTTCAAGACCAGCCTGAGCAAGCACGAGACTCTGTCTCTACTAAAAACAGAAAAAATTAGCTGGGCATGGTGGCACATGCCTATAGTCCCAGCTACCTGGGAGGTTGAGGCAGGAGGATCACTTAAGCCAGGGAGTTTGAGGTTGCTGTGAGCTAGGCTGACACCATGGCACTTTAGCCTGGGCAGTGGAATAGGACTCAGTCTCAAAAAAGAAAAAAAGAAAGTATCTTTCAAATTCTTAAATATGCATACACCCTATGACCCAGCAATCCATTGCTAGAAATCTGTCCTACAGAATAGCATTATAAATATAAGATAGCATTATAAATGTACAAGGCTTACTACAGTATTATTTGTAATAATAAAAATATTATAGGAAGGGCATGATGGCTCATGCCTGTAATCCTAGCACTCTGGGAGGCTAAGGTGGGAGGATAGCTTGAGTTTAGGAGTTCGAGATCAGCCTAAGCAAGAGTGAGACCCTGTCTCTACTGAAAAAATAGAAAAATTAGCCGGGTTTGGTGGTACATGCCTGTAGTCCCAGCTACCTGGGAGGCTGAGGCAGGAGGATCACTTGAGCTAAGAAGTTTGAGGTTGCTGTGAGCTAGGCTGACACCACAGCACGGGCCCAGGCAACAGAGTGAGTCTCTGTCTCAAAAAAAAAAAAATTATAAAATTTGATTTGTAATATTGAGACTTTCTCCAAACTAACCTATAAACTCAATGCAATCCCAATCCTTGTAAGTTTGTTTTATTGTCATTGTTTGTGCTTTATTTTGTTTTGAATTTGTTTTTGTGGAACTTAAATATCTAATTCTAAAATTTATATGGAATATATGGAAAGGAATAAGAATAATCAAGACATTCAAAAAGAACCTGATGGGAGGACCTGCTCTACTGAGAGCAAGAATTAAAATAAAACTATAGTCATTAAGACAGTATAGTATCAAATCAAAGATAAAGAAAACAATGGAAAAGAATAGAGAGCTCAGAAAAAAAGCCACTTAAATATGGACACAGTTTCTGAAAAAGAGGTAGTACAGTGAAACAGTGTGGAAAAGATGAGACAACTGGATAGATACACTGTGAGGGATGAAAATTGATCTCTATCTCACACCATACTGAAAAATCATTTTTGAATAGACTACAAATCTAAATGAGAAAAGCAAAACAAGAAATAACATAGGAAAATATTCTCAGGGTAAGAAAAGAATTCTTTAATAAGAAACAAAGAATAATAGTCATAAAATAAAATATTAATAAATTAGAGAGTATGTTAAAACTAAGAACCTCTGTTCATCAAAGGACACAAGAGAATGAAAGGCAAGCCACAAGGTGGAAGAAAATATTTATAAGATATATATCCATTCCTCTACATACTTGCCAGTTCAAGGAAAAAGAAAGATGTACGTACAATAAAGAACTCCTATCCATTCTATATAAAAAATAACTCCTGGCCAGGCACAGTCGCTCACGCCTATAATCCTAGCACTTTGGCAGGCTAAGGTGGGAGGACCACTTAAGGCCAGGAATTCGACACCAGCCTGAGCAAGACTGAGTCCTCATCTCTACAAAAAAATAGAAAAATTAGCTGAGCATAGTGGTGTGTGCCTATAGTCCCAACTACTTAGGAGACTAAGGCAGGAGGATCGCTCGAGTCCAGCAGTTTGAGGTTGCTGTGAGCTATGACGATGCCATAGCACTCTAGCCGGGGAAATAGATCAAGACCCTGTCATTCATAAATTCATAAATTCATAAATAAATAAATAAATATGTAAAGGCTACAAATGAATAAGAAAAAGATAATCCAATAGAAAAATGGGCAAGAGATTTAAACGAGCACTTCACAAAAGAAGATATCAAATGATCAATAAACAGATGAAAGAAAAATCCTCAATCTTATTAGTCATCAAATACAAGTTAAAAATCCTAACAAAAGGCCACTACACACCAACCAGAAAGGCTGAAATTAAAAAGATTATCAAGGATGTAGAGCAACTGCAACTTTCATAAACTCCTGGTGGGAATGTAAATTTCTAAAACCACTCTGGAAAACAAGCATCATTATCTTCTTAAGCGTTAAAACTACGCCAAAGTACATACCAACAGAAATGCAGGTACATGTGTGCCAAAAGAAATGCACAATAATGTTCACTGCAGCATAATTCAGAACAACCAAAAATTGGAGACAACTCAAATGTTTAACTATAATGTGTACATTTAGAAAGCATACTTAAGTGATAAAACTATAAAGAGAAGGAAGGAAACAAATACCAAAAATTCAGGATAGTGGTAATCTTTCAAGGGCAGGTAGGAAGCACTAAAATGCTAGCAGTGTTCCTTTTTTTGACTTGGGGGGACTCACATCATGATAATTCACTGAATTGTGCATTTACACTTTACCCTCTTTTCTGTACTTGTGTTACATTTCACAGAAAGAAAAAAGTGTTGGAAAAAATGAGTTGTGGTGCCAGCTGCTAGTTACATGGAATCAGTTAAGTTACTTCTCAGCTTCCACCTACTAGCTTGAAAAAATGATGCTATGTTACCATTTAAATTGTTATCAAATTATTCTGAAAACTTCAAATATTAAATAGAGTATATCCTCTCAAATTAAGGTTCTCAACAAAAACACACTTTATAAAACCATAACTGCTATTTGCAAAAAAAAAAAAAAAAGACCACTTATGTTAATAATAAAAACAAAACCTAGGAATTAAATAATGGACCTGTCAAAATAGTTTGCTACTTTGTTATCAACAGCATTACATTTTAGTTAGCTTCTTATAAGGGGTATATTGAAAAAGAAATTCCAAACTTACCTCTTTATTGGGTGTACCTTCATCAAGTTGCTCTGTAAATGAAGATGTCCTGCTCCTGTTTCTTACTGGTGTTGAAGAATTGGAGGAAGCCTAGATTTAAAAAATTATGGCATTCTTAGTCCATGTCCAAAGAATTCAGTGAAGGAAAAGAAAAGAGCAAACACATGAAAAGAATAACAAACATAATCAACTAGAAGACCCAGCCTATCTATTGGGTCCTTGGCCTGACTGCCACCAACTAGAACTATGATCTTTGCTAAATTAACTTTTTAGGGCTATGTGTCTTCATATATAAAAATAGGGTTGTGATGGTAATGTTACGATGATAACATTAACGGAAACTGAAGCCAGGTGAGGGGTATATAAAAACTCTCTGTACTACCTTTGCAACTTTTCTGTAAATCAAAATTATTCCAAAATTAAAAGTTCATTTGTTAAAAAGAAAAGTTGTCAATGCAACCTTTAAGTTCCCTTCCAGCTCTAACATTCACTACTTGAAGTGCACAGGTAACCAGTACTTCCCTACCTCTCTAATCAAGGGCCTTGCTTTGAGCCTACCTTGAACACCATTGCTGGATACTGAGATGTTAGTCCATTTGAGCTCTGTAAAGGATGGTCTGCTTCATGTAATGCTCAGTATAAAAACCCTCAAGAGAAAGAGCCCAAAATTTAAACTAAGAGTCTGAGGTCTACTCTAAGTGAACTAAAAACAGCCTGAAAAGTATAAAGCCTAAACTTCAAGACCCTTCTATACCCATAGCAAAATAGATCTGAACTCATCTACACATAGAAATGAATGAGTCTTGGTATCTTACCCTTTTGTAGTCACATAGCTCTACATAAAAGGCATTTAATAAATATTTGTCAAATAAATGAGTGAATGAATGAATAAATGGAACTCTGGTTTGTCAAATCTGTGCACATACTGCTGTGGCTAGGCTAGAACTGAGAGGTCATGAATACTGTATATGCACACACACTCTATACGCACACACACATATACATATTTAGTTTATGAAAAACATAACATTTCACATCAAGACAGATGTTCAACAGATGGCGTTGGGACAACTGGCCATCCACATGGAAGGAGAGACAAAAATCAGATTCTTACTTCATATTTAAGCTATATTAAATATTTAAGTGTTTTTTTAAATTGAAATACAAAAAGAAAATATAAGAGTCTGTTTCGATAATCTCTGAACAGGAAAGATTTTTATGTCAAAAGCATAAATCAAAAGGAGCAGTTTAATTGGGAGGAGAGGGAAAGCACCTAAACATATGATAAAAGTTTAATAACCTCTTTTTCTATAAATAGCTCTAAGCCCATAAGTTAAAACTCAAAAAACTTACTAACCCAATCTTTTTATCTGGGGCAGGTAACCTGAGCTCCACCAATCAAACACACCCACATGAGACTTCAGTCATAAATGAGCAATGTGAGAAAATAGGCGAAATTAAAGTTCATCATCTGGTGAGCATGGAGACATAACTTCATGCAACCAAGCAGACATGAGCTGTACACTGGAAGATGCAATGCTGGTGCCAAGCTGAGGCAGCTGCAATATTTTTAGAGTAGTTTCCCCAGAATAGCTGGATGTAGCAATCAGCCCAGACTTTTAGGCCCTCAAGGAAATTCTGTAAGCCACTGAATCTTTTTAATAAATTCCTTTTCTGCTTAGCTGGCTACACTAAGTTCTGTTGCTTACAACTGAGAAATCCAACATACCTACTCCTTCTAAAAGAGCAACCCAAAAAAATCAACACATGATAGATGAAATTGGCTATGCAGAGAAGTCACCTTAAGGGATAAGATATCCTCTCCCATCCAAGACAAAACAGGAAATTCATAGGCATGGTGGCTCATACCTGTAATCCCAGCACTTTAAGAGGCTGAGGTAGGAGGATCACTTGAGCTCAGAAGTTCAAGACCAGCCTGGGTAACACGGTGAGACCCCATCTCTACAAAAACTTTTTTTTAAAAAAATTAGCCAGGCACGGTGGCGCATACCTATAGTCCCAGCTACTTGGGAGGCTGAGGCAGAGGATTGCTTGAGCCCAGGAGTTTGAGATTACAGTAAGCTATGATCATTATGACTGTGCCACTGTGCTCCATCCTGGACAACAAAGTGAGATCCTGTCTCAAAGAACAAAACAACAACAACAAAAAAAAAAAAACAGGAAGAGTAAGGACTTAAAAATATAAACAAGAAAATGGTTGAATGTAAAATAAAGCTGAAGTCTTATAAATGATTTAAATGTCTAGAAAATATATGACTGAAAGTTGACATTATGCTTAGAAAATGAGAAGGGAAAGCACAGTCACTGGACAGTGTTTATTCCAGGACTGCGAATAAATGACAAATGTTGAAAGAACATCAAAAATAGCTTCCATTAAAGTTGAGGGAAATTCAATAAAGCCTTCCCACACCTAGAGTGATAATTTTAAACCATGCCAGCTTTGAAGGCCGTAGATGCTTTAAAGGCTGTCACTATTGGGGAGGAGGAGTTCCATTTGTATCTATGTACTAATAAACGGTTTTATGTAAGATCTCCTTTAATAAAAGGGTCACTAAGGGGTAAAAAGTTAGAGAAAAGTAATTAGAAAAGTACCATTAGACTAGCAGAAATATCTCTTGACCAACCAACTCTCTATTGTAATTCCATTGTGTCTAAGAAATCTTTGGGTTATTAACTCAGCTTTCCAAATGTTCAGATGCCAGGAAAAGGTTACCCAGACAGTGACCATCCATTTGCTTGAAACGTATACTCCACTGCAAGTTTTAAAAATTGGCCCTATGTCTTATACCTTGGCTTCATGTGAGTCTAATCAGTAACTGAGAGCCTCGTCAGCTCTGGATAAACTAACAAAAATCGAACGATGGGGTTTACAAAGTTAAAGAAGAGGTTCTAAAATACACTGGCCTGAGAAAAACAGTACTATCTGGCAAAACTTGGCTGATGGCTTGTTGGTCTTCCCCTGAAGTTGTAACAGCAAAGATCGCACAAGAGAATGGATGTGACTGTAAAGTGTAACACTGCATAAAGAACTAACTGTACTTGAACATTTGTCCCAAGTGCCTGGATCTTTAATGAGCTATCCTCACTTCAAGATATAAAAGCCACACCTGTAATCCTAGCACTTTGGGAGGCCAATGTTGGAGGATCGCTTGAGGCCTGGGATTCAAGACCAGCCTGGGCAACATAGCAAGACCCCATCTTTACAAAAACATTTAAAAACTAGCCAGGCACAGTGGCCCACACCTGTAGTCCCAGCTACTGGGGAGGTTGAGGCAGGAGGATCACTTGAGCCCAGGAGTTTGAAGCTGTAGTAAGCTATGATCCTGCCACTGCACTCCAGCCCCACGCAACAGAGCGAGACCCTGCCTCAATAAAAAAAGGATATAAAGGGATTTACTTTCCTTCAAACCAAACATGGGCTGATTAATTCTCATAGCCATAAAAAATCTGAAGTCAGATTTCTAAGCTATTAGCCAAGAAACCTGATGGCTACATTCAGACTCACAATTGATATTTTATTGCCCACACACTGATTATTAACTGACCACAGGTCCCACTTTCAGTATAAGAAAAACCATTTTAGTCACTGTGGTAGGAAGCATTCTAAGATGAACCCAAATGACCCTCACCCTGTAAATATAAGATATCATTCCTGTGATTATATTACACGGCAAAAGGGATTTTGAAGGTATGTTTCAGGTTGCTCATCAGTTGGCTCTGAGTTAATCAAAAGATTACTTTGATGAATCTAACCTAATTACATAAGCTCTTCAAATATGGGTCTAGAGGACAGAGGGCAGAGAGATGCATTCTTGCTGTCCTGAAAGCAAAATGCCTAAGGGGGCACTTGGCAAGGAATGCTGGCAGCCTCTAGGAGCTGAAAGTCTGCAAAAAATGAGGACCTCAGTCCTATAACCAGAAAGGACTGAATTCTACAACCACATGAGCATGGAAGAGGACCTGAGCTCCAGACGAGAATGCAGCCTGGACAACAGCTTGATTTTAGCCTTGCCAGACACTGAGCAGAGAACCCAGTCACACCATGCCATACTTCTGACGTACAGAACTATAAAATAATAACTGAGTTATTAGGCACTAAGGTTGTGGTAACTGGTTATGCAACATTATAAAACTAATACAGTCACCTTTAGGAATAAGCCTTGAATGCCTTGTCCCTATACCATGACTTTTCAACATCCATCAAGACTCTACTCAGATGTCACCCTGACCCTCTCCAGAAATGCCTTCCTATAGGCAGTCACAACGTCCTGTACACACCACCATCACACAGAAAGTACACCATGGTCCAGGGACTGTATCTACCTTTAAGGCAAATGCAGCATCCAGCATAGCACCTTGCAGGCACTGTTAAATAAATAAATGCTCTACAATTACAAATGCTTTCAAATATACTATCATCTCTGATCCTCTCAATCAAACTGAAAGGTAAGCAGGACAGATATTATCACTCCCAATTTCCTGATGAGAATATAAGATGCTCAGTACGCTCACATGGCTTGCCCAAGTTGCATACTACAAGATCTGGGTTAGCACACAGGTCTTCTGATTCCCTCACCCATTTCTCCATTATTCTTTTTTTTGTTGTTGTTGTTCCTACAAGTTCAGAGAAAATTCACTAGTAATAAACTACAGAAATGATCCCTGAAAGTAGTATTCACCAGTATTCTTAAGGTCACTGTTTCTCAGACATTTTTCCCTGAGACTCAAAGTAAAAATAATTAATACCACCCAATTTACCTAGGGACAACTCTAAAACAAGTCTCACAGAACAACCTTAACTTTTATGACATGAAATATCACATTCCCTGACCTAATTTATTTTTTCACCAAAAAAAAAGCTGCTCAATCCATTGATTTTACAACCCACTTGAACTACTTTCACTATACCATGTTATCTCTGAAAGAACAATGTTGATAAACATGTCTACTAACTCTTAAATCTGGAATACATCAAATATATTTAATGAATTTTAATTACACATAAAACAGGAATTAAAAAACATAAATCCCAGGTTGAACAATACAATCTAAAGATAACACAACTTTGG